CCCCATCGTTGGACTGGCTTCGAACCCTAAGCGAACCAGCCGGGTGCTGACCGCCTACGGTCGGCGGCGACAAAGGGGCGGGGACGGCAGGAGAACTGCCCACGGGCGGCAGCGACACGTCGGGGGCGGAGGCGGCCGACGGACCCACGGCAGGCAGCACCGTTGTGCCGAACGAGAAGCCCACGAGCGACGTGGGCGCAGCCGGGGCGACACGGCCGAAAGAGATACCCTGGCCGACGGACGGCGCAGGGCGAGAAGGTGTAGAGCCCACGTCGGCATTGGGCTTGACGGGGGCAGAAGATCGGGGAGGGGGCGTAGGAGACATGGCGAATGGGGGAGAAGCTGCGAAGCCTTACCCCATCCGCCGCTTATATGGTCTCAGCGCCCTCCTTGGCTTTCTCAGTGCCGCTGCTTACTCGGCGCACACAACGCTTTTACTTTGCCTCCCGAGGTGATCAGCGCCGTGATAGGTGCACACAAAGCCTTGCGTCAAGCAACGGTCCGAAATGAGCCCCACCTGCCGCACCGACCCGCGACCAACCAACCTTCTTTTAAGTTTCGGCACACCCACGCGCCACACCTCATCCCGTCGCTCGACGGAGCGGCCGACGGCCGCAACCCACGCGTGCAGCGCCTACGCCCACGCGAGCGCTCAACACTGCCCACGGCGCCGTCGACTGATCCAATCGTGCAGACAGACCCCACGGTGTAACCCGATCCGCCTACGGCACCGTCGTTGTGCACTCGCCGACAATGCGACGTAATCCCACGGTGCCACAACCCACGCTCCCACCAGCTTGAACTCAACCCACCCACGGCTCGCGGACGAGCCGAGCTGAACCGGGGGGTAATGTCAGAGCGGTGCCGTTGGCGCAACCTACGCGCCGCGATCTGACACCTCGATCCTACCGTGGGCCTAGCACCGATGCATAGACCGTGGACCGCTACCACTGGCACGCGCCCACGGTTGGCACTCTCGGACCCGACGACACCAGTCGGTCCTTCCAAAGTAACACTCGGTCTGCGGCAACGACCGTGGGCTAGCCCACGGCCGCCCTCCTTGCCGTAGGCCGCCTTTCATAGTCTCAATTCTTACGGAGGTTGCCTCTGGACCTCCGTCGCATGTATTACTTAGTTAGCTCAATAGCAG